AGCCTAACCAGTAGCAACTTTTATAATCGTAATTTGCCTTCCCAGTGAAATCAGAAGTCAGAACAGAAGAGGATCGAAGACATATTTGGTAGGTTGTCGATATGTCGATAAATGATCAATCTAAGCTGTATAACGGTCGTGGGAGATGTGAAACATGACGTACCCACACGTGATCTGGTGAGGATGCGTGGCCGAACGCCTTCAGCTAAGTGAGTTCATTGAAACTAATGTGGTTGGGAACAAATGTCAACGTGTTACAGAGCTGTTGGTTTCTAGGATTTATTTACCACTACACCGCCGTATCAGTAGGCCGATCCCGGAATTATATGGAACTATTCTCAGTATTTACTTGAGATCTTATTTGGAGGCAAACTGATGAAAGAATCCACACAAATCTTCCCGAGGTAGGAATTGGTAGACTGTGAACTCATTACAATACCTGGATAGGAACTTATGAAATATGTGATATTAAACTGCTTTGTCATTTTGAACTCTCTTAAGAAACATGTAATCAGCGACCCATACTTGTCGATGTTAAGAGTTGAGAATAGTTCTTTATCTAAATGGAATTCTGAAGGGCTGTGTTTAGTTCTTAGTTGGCACTCAACACTTGGTTCTAGCTTTTTATAGTCCATGAACATGAATTCATCTAATTTCGTACATGGTATTCAGGTTAATCCCATTTGAGCAACCGTTGTAAAACATGCAAAATACGAATTGAGTTTGAAAAAATTATTTTATACATTAATTTATTCAGGAGGACAATAAGAGATGCGATATGGATAAATGATTACCAGTCTACTGAAGTTAATTAAAGTGTGACTCGGCATTTAGAAATGTGAAAAATACAAGGAGCCACATATCTGCAGTTGTACACTAATGTTCAAGGTCACATATATAAATGACACAATGGTCAGGAAGTTTAGTTCATTCGTTTAAAGAGGGTAAATCGTTTAGGACTTGAACAATACGAAATCTAAAGTAGTTATCACAAATGGACATTCAGTTCGGAGAGAAATAGGTGAGTGCCTACAAAGGTGTTGTATTTTGTAATCCAAATGAAGCGTGGGATAATTTGCAAAAGAAGTATTAATTCGTACAAATATCACAAAGACTCTTAAGTACATTTCATGATTTGAAATTATACCTAACAGGTAAACTACTTTCTTAAAATATCGATAACCTTTAATTGCTGAAGATACCTTTTACATTGGAAAGATATTTCATTGGTGATAACGAAAGCATATGGCACATAAAAGATAAAGTAGTCGCTGACACAGTGATATATATCTTTGATGTTCCGGCCTTAACGTGAGCAATTAAACTTATAAGATAACTGTTAGGTAGTCAGAAAAATAGACCAATAATTATCATGTTAAGTCCAATGGTGTTTTTGGACCTTAAATGTACATTTCCTATTGGTCGATGTTTACTTCACTTGTTAAATATTTTGTAAATGTTGTTCTCTATTTTATGGTACGATGTGGTATGCTTGATTGGTATATAAACAAAGTATGTTTGAAATATAATGATTCATAACCCAGAGGCTGTGACTTGTGTTCTTGACTCAACTGGCTGGGGCTAGACAGCGAAGCAGGGCCAATCAGGGCACTAGGTCGTCCTTACGTGTTTTTCGTGTCCACTGTCACAGAAGCGATCGATATAAACGCTGCCTAGCTTAACCTGCAGTCACCCGTTACAACAATAACCTTCAGAAAAATAAAATGATAACAAAACTTTTTGATTTTCGTCTTTCTATTTGAAGTCAATTTCCACCATAATGATACACTTCTGTTTCAAATCAAAGATCAAAAATCTTGGAAAGATTAATTTTATTGAAAGTTGCTGAAGAAAATAAAAGTAATAAAGACGCTCGAAGTATTTAGAACAATATATTTAATTTCTGCCACTGTAATATGAGAACAATGTTAGTTAATTTAAATAGACTTTTGTTACGATTAGAACTAGGTACTGGAGTTCAGGAGACAAAGTATGGCCTGCAAAATCTAGAATTTGAGGGATTTCAGTGTATATGTTGGTTGTGAAAGCACAAACTAGTGAATTATGTCCATGTAGTTTGTGCTTTCACAATAATTATTAGGATACAAACGGAGAGGGGGGGAGGGTAAAGAATTAGAAGTATGAGAATTATTTACTGAAAAGTAATGGCACAAACCCATGTATATGTGTCTTAGATTGAGAAATATAGAGAACAAATACATTTATGAATTATATTTTCGTGAACATAAAAGTATCATTTGAGCAAATATATCTCAAGACTTCCTGAAAAATTTGTTTATGAGTATTTTTATCCCCACTAAAAGTGTAACGATTTTTGCCTAGGTTTGGATATAATATTTTTGCAACACAGATTGTTACAGGTAACAAAATGTTTATTCATTATAACATGAGCACACACTTTCAAGAACAAGTTAACCAATCACTTATTTCTAAAACAAATTTTAATCACACCCAAGACGTTTTTGTCAATGGAGACCAGGAATCACAAGAACCGTGCAATAATTGTCAACCCAAATCATGAGGTCGTCAACACTAACAGATTGTAACTTGTTGGATGCTTTGAATAAAAAATTGTTTAAAGATCCCCATCATATTTAAAGTCTAATTTTTGAACGAAGAATATTCTTTTCGATAAATTCTCTTCAGGTTCTACAATTATATATCCAAATTATTATTCCGAAAAATGGCCAGGGTAAGGGCAAAGTACATAGTTTAAAGTATGTTTAAAGAATGCCCTTAACCTGGCCATTTTTCGGATTATAATTTGGATGTATAATTGTAGAACCTGAAGAGGATTTATCGGAAAGAATATTCTTCGTTCAAGAAAATTTTGAGTAACTAAATTATAACTATGAGAGTTCGAAGCTGTAAAGCATAAGCCTGGTGTGATATGGATATATCTAGTTGGTTGCTAGGTGTTCAGATAAAGCGAACTTTCCATTATTTTGTTAAAGGTGAAAACTATAGGGTTGATATATGAACCAAGAAGGCTAAATGATTGAATATGGGTCAACTTACCCCAATTATATATTAAATAAATATAAATGTATGGAATTTGTCAATCTTACAAACTGAAAGTTGTACTGAATTGTGCAATATAAACTTAGTGATAAGTTTATAGAAGAACACGAGGATTCGCAATTTACGTTGAATATAATATTCTCTGTTTTATGCTTTCGACTGTAATGGATTTGAAACTTTATTGAAGACGACGATTCAGACGCATATCATTGAATGATAAGAATGAGTAAAACTTATAAGAGTTATCATTTAGCTTTGTATATGGTGAGAATGATATTTTCTTCATTGTAAGTAAATAGTCTAGTAAGAACTCAATCGTAGTTATTGTGGATAACATGGTAATATATGTTAAAGAACAACAGTGGAATTTATCACAATAATTTCATTTCATTCAATGATTAGTCGTTTGGTTCTTGTACATTTCAGTAAATAGCTATTAGCTCTAATTAAATTTAGATTCAAATAAATATGTTATTTAGGCTATGCAAACCAGTAATCGAAAGTTTTTAGTGATGATAAAAATTATTACATACTCTATTGGTTATTGCTACTGTTTGTGTAAGCTTTCCATGAACTTCATGCCGTTTATCTCCTTTCATGAATAAACTGAATACAGAACGAAGTGAGGTTTAAAATTCTTGTCTATTTATAATTTTAAAATGGGTTTTTAAGTATAAAATAAGGTAGTTGATAAATGAAACTTTGTCTTGTGTTTATGAATTTCGAGAAAAATACTATGAGCTACTTCGATGATTCTATATGAATAAGGAGAAGTGTAAGTTAAACGAGATGTAGTCTGGTATTTTTTTGCTTTGAAAAGTTGATATGTTGATTTTATCAAACAAAAGTGATTTAAGTGTTATGTTGATATGACTTCTCAATTTACTAACAAAATGTTGTATAAGTGTCAACTGAGATGATCTAAATGTGGCCAAGGGACAATTGATCACGAATCCAAATTATCGATCCACTGCTCCAATAAAAAGATATCAGACTGGCCAGTAAAATATAAGATTTTTGTAACAAAATCATAAAATTTTAAATAAAATATTTTCTACAAAATAAACATGACTCAAATTCACTGAATTCTGATTCTTTAGGATAATTACCAAATGATGAAATTAATGCCTATAAGACATACTAATCTCAAATCATATCACTTTTGTAAATGTCATGTTTACGATGTATTTACTTAGAAGTATCAAGTATAACAATAAGTAAACCAAGAATTTATGATTACATTTACATTTGAAGAAATATATGTATACATTAAAGCATAATCAAAAATTCGTATACATCCATTATATTCATTTCTGAATGGTAATGTAATACTACTGATTTGAGAAAAGTAATTTCTTCTCATTATGTAAGCATATTTGATGTGTAATGTTATAACTGTGTAATTATTTTATATAATTTAGGTGAATTAATACAAATGAAAGAATATATGTATATGTATAATAATGTATATGTATATGCTATTCTATGGTTATGCACTGAATATTTGAAGCATTGAAATTTCAGTTATTCAGGTTAAATGACATTTTTGGTAAATATCATTACAATCAAAGTTTGTAAACATTTCGAGAGGATAAACTAAATTTCGAATGTATGAGAACACTTCAAAATCTAGAATATAGACTAGCAAGTATATAATAACAATAATAAATAGCTAGTTTATAGTTAAATGTTTTATTCAATATTACAGTAATATTTCTAAGATAAATATCTATGATTTCAGAAAAGATTTGAAAATGTACTTTTAATTGCCAATTTTATATCTTTATCCATTAGACTCATTTAAACATTCCGACCTCATGTAATTTAGTTATGAACTAAATATCTTTAAACTAACTGCCTATAAATTTAACTCATTTAGGAGCTGCCTAAGGACAAATATGTGCTTTGGTTTTAGTGTTTCGATATATATTTTGGTCTATTTATAAATCAATATAATTCTGAAAGTGGTTAAAATAATTCTTATTGATATACAAACTCCATTACTTTCATTCTAATGAAATTGACCTGAGGAATATGATGTACCGACTGGAATTATTCAAAATAGTAGTCGTTATGCAAAATACCAACTCCGCCTGTAGCTCTTATAGGGTTGCTGCCGGTCCCAAGCCCGGGTAAAGGAGGAGGGTTTGGCATGGGGTTAGCGTCCCCATCCCGTAGAAAACTAACTCGCTAAAAAAACGCTTACCAGAAAAAATAATCCAAACCATTTTAACTCTGCCCTGGGAGTTAGAAGGTCTTCATTTGGAAGAATTATGACGCTTCATGGTGAAAGCCGAGTTCCTTCGGAAGCCACGAGGCCGATGCCCCTTCTAACAACCAGAGCAGAAATTTTTATAGGTGCATGGAACGTTCGAACAATGTGGGAAACCGGGAAGACCAGTCAAATATCAATGGAAATGAGGAGATACAACTTAGCAGTACTGGGAATCAGCGAAACCCACTGGACCCAAGCTGGACAGAAAAAGCTAGCTACGGGAGAGATGCTGCTATACTCCGGTCACGAAGAGGACAATGCTCCACACACTCAGTGAGTCGCTCTTATGCTGTCCAAAGTAGCACGAAATGCACTTGTAGGATGGGAATCTCACGGATCCAGAATCATCAAAGCATCATTCAAAACAAAGAAGGAGGGGATCTTAATGTATATTATCCAATGTTATGCACCCACCAATGATAGCAACGACGAAATTAAAGATCAGTTCTACGAGCGGCTGCAGTCAATCATTGAGAAATGCCCAAGAAAGAACCTCACCATTCTGATGGGAGATCTAAATGCCAAAGTCGGAATAGACAACACTGGATATGAAGATATTATGGGACGACATGGACTGGGAGAAAGAAACGAAAATGGAGAAAGATTTGCAAATCTATGTGCATTCAACAAATTGGTCATAGGCGGCACAATATTTCCACACAAGCGTATACACAAGGCTACATGGATCTCACCGGACCACACTACAGAGAACCAAATAGATCATATTTGCATTAACAAAAAATTCCGAAGGACAATGGAAGATGTGAGAACCAGGAGAGTTGCTGACGTAGCTTCAGATCACCACCTAGTTGTAGCCAATTTAAAACTGAAGCTAAAAAAGAACTGGACAAGTGGACAAACAGCAATTCAAAGGTTCAATACAGCCTTCCTTCGAGATACTGTCAAATTGAATGAATTCAAGATAGCTCTCAACAACAGGTTCCAAGCCTTACAAGATCTACTGAAAGAAGAAGAAACTACTATGGAGGACAACTGGAAAAGCATCAAAGAAGCATTAACTTCAACGTGTCAAGAGGTTCTCGGTCTAAAGAAATACCATCATAAGGAATGGATCTCTACAGAAACACTGGACAAGATCAAAGAAAGGAAGAACAAGAAGGCAGCAATAAACAACAGCCGAACACGAGCAGAGAAAGTCCAAGCACAAGCCGAATACATAGAAGCAAACAAACAAGTGAAGAGGAGCATTAGAGCCGACAAGAAGAAATACGTTGAAGAACTAGCAACGACGGCAGAAAAAGCTGCTAGAGAAGGAAATATGAAACAACTTCACGATACAACGAAGAAACTAGCAGGGAATTACAGTAAACCAGAGAGGCCGGTCAAAGACAAAGAAGGCAAGCCAATCACCGAAATTCAACAACAGCGTAACAGATGGGTAGAATACTTCGAGGAACTCCTGAATAGGCCGGCTCCAATGAATCCAGTGGACATCGAAGCAGCACACATAGATCTTCCTATAGATGTCAATCCACCAACTACGGAAGAAATTAGAATGGCCGTCAGACAAATCAAGAACGGGAAAGCAGCAGGACCCGACAACATACCAGCTGAAGCACTGAAATCAGACGTCGAAGTAACCACAAGCATGCATTATCTTCTATTCAAAAAGATTTGGGAGGAGGAACAAGCTCCGATGGACTGGAAAGAAGGACACCTCGTCAAGATTCCAAAGAAAGGAGATCTGAGCAAATGTGAAAACTACAGAGGCATAACACTACTGTCAATACCAGGGAAAGTCTTCAACAGAGTGTTGCTGAACCGGATGAAGGATGCAGTAGACGCCCAACTTCGAGATCAACAAGCTGGATTCCGTAAGGATCAGTCGTGCACAGACCAAATTGCAACACTACGGATCATCGTCGAACAATCACTTGAGTGGAACTCATCATTATACATCAACTTCATTGATTGTGAAAAGGCATTCGACAGTGTAGATAGGAGAACGTTATGGAAACTTCTTCGACACTACGGAGTTCCTGAGAGGATTGTCAATATTATCCGGAACTCATACGACGGACTACAATGCAAAGTAGTGCATGAAGGACAGCTGACAGATGCATTCCAAGTAAGGACCGGAGTCAGACAAGGCTGTCAACTCTCTCCCTTCCTCTTTCTTCTGGTGGTCGACTGGATTATGAAGACCTCGACATCTGAAGGAAAACACGGAATACAATGGACAGCTCAGAACCAATTAGACGATTTGGACTTCGCAGATGACCTAGCCCTCCTATCACGTACACACGAACAGATGCAGATGAAGACAGCCAGTGTAGCAGCAGTCTCTGCATCAGTAGGCCTCAGTATACACAAAGGGAAAACTAAGGTCCTCAAATTCAAAGCGGAGAACAGCAATCCAATCACACTTGATGGCGAAACTCTGGAAGATGTAGAGTCCTTCACATACCTGGGAAGCATCATCGATGAACAAGGAGGATCCGATGCAGACGTAAAGGCGAGGATCGGCAAAGCAAGGGTCGCATTCCTACAATTGAAGAACATTTGGAACTCAAAACAAATGTCTGCAAGCCATAATCAAAGTCACAATCTTCAATACGGACGTCAAAGCAGTTCTACTGTATGGAGCTGAAACTTGGAGAACTACAACAACCACAATCAAGAAAGTACAAGTATTTATAAATAGCTGTCTTCGCAAGATACTCAACATCCATTAGCCGGATACCATCAGCAACAGCCTTCTGTGGGAGAGAACAAACCAACTTCCAGCTGAAGAAGAAATTAGGAAAAGACGATGGAAATGGATAGGACATACATTGCGCAAATCGTCAAACTGCATCACGAGGCAAGCCCTAACTTGGAATCCTGAAGGGAAGCGAAAAAGAGGAAGGCCAAAGAACACATTGCGTCGGTTAATAGAAGCAGATATGAAAAGGATGAATTACAACTGGACGGAGCTAGAAAGGATTGCCCAGGACAGGGTTGGATGGAGAATGCTGGTGAGCGGCCTATGCTCCTTCACGAGGAGTAACAGGCGTAAGTAAGTAAGTAAATAAGTATGCAAAATATCAAGTATTTGGTAATGATGATATTATCAATGTGTTAACACTTCAATATTTGAAAGAACCTTAAACACATTTTTGTTTGGTTCGTTAAGTAACTGAAATTTTATAGCATAAAATATTCTGAATAGTAACTGCAAACATATCAGAAGGGGTTTTGTGGATATTATAGTAATTTTAGTAGTTGAGATCATGAGTCAATTGAAGCTAGACCTTCATGGAAAACCTGGAAGCACTTCTGAGGAGACCCACAATAGGACGAAACGGCCGTCCAGTGCTTCCAGGTTTTCCATGATGGTCTAGCTTCAATTGATTCATGATATTGTTTTTTATTTAACAGTTTGCTCTTTAAGGATGGGTAATATTTGTGTAGTAAATATTCATATCTAGGATTTAAATACAGTTATTATTGAGGCGATCCAGATTATTCCACTTAATAGTCCAGAAGGTTCCTGAAAAAGTTAGGTAACATCTTGTCAAATCAGCCCAAGGGCATCTGAAATGCGAATTAATCCGAAATAACCTTGGAGTGAAGCGTTCTTCTCATATTTCACCTTTTTCTCTTGTGTTCCAGTTGTTGTGTAGATTTTGACTGGGTTTAATAGAATCGTTTAGGAAACCTATTCGGGCGTTCAGTTAGAAGTCTTATCAGCTATTTTTTGCATCTTCATTATATTTTTCATTTCCCAGTGCAAAAACAAACTCGGCTGTACGATCATTCCCTTTACATGTTGAAAACCCATGTTAGTCTTATTATATGTTATTATTTCATTGACAGCTATATGGTTACTTAAAAATGTGGTCAACTGACTTGAGGCGGATTTGAGGACTAGATGAATATCTCTCGATTAGTCAGTATGTTATGTTGTAATTAGTGTAACCTTGCACTATTAATACCCGCTAAGTATAATAAAAGAACATCAAAGAGAATCTTTTAATTAAACTAAATAAATTTATGTAAATGGTCAAAATCAGATTTAAATTATATTATGTTAATCATTTTGTTATCATAAATCAATATATTTACTTGATATCTATATTATTATAATCGTAACTAATACAAGTAATGATGAAATAGACTTTTTAGTTGAATATTTCATACGGTTTTGAAAAGAAGAACTCCACGATCTTCCAATGAAAAGTAAATACAGAATTGTTTTATATGCGTTACATAACTAAAGAGGAAAACAATAAAGAATAAAGAGTTATTCAATAATTACAAACAAAAACATTTAAATTATTTTAAGTTTATTTACAAACTGTTAGTAAACTCGGTTATTATTGAAAGATAATATGATTTTATGTTACTTTTACCAATGTTATCCAATGGTAACATACAAGATGGCATTTAACAGAAAACTAACTCATTTTTTTCCTTTTAATGATTGACAATAAAGTATCAAACAATAATTTTAAACCGGTTTCATTACTCGGATAATAGACCTTTAATGCTAAATTATTCAGTTAACTGATGTAACTAATGCAAAACTGAATATGATTACTAACAATACATATTGCATTCATATAAATATATTCAGAAAAGAGCAAGAACAAAGATTTTAGCAGAGTAGCATGAATTCATTTTATTTCGTTGGTTCTCGTCAACTGCTTACAACCTGCGATATTTAAAAAATCATAATTACATCATGCGTTTAAATTACTTACGTGAAAGGGTTTAGTTTGAAGTTATTTTGAAGACACATTAGTATAATATAGCAAGGTTGTAAATAATATTAATAGACTGAATACTGTAAATATATACTTTATGTAAAAGAATATTCTACAACATTAATTGTGGCAACAGTTCAAATGGCCAGAAACAAGTGATTACATAATGAGTAAATGTTGATAAGAACAAAATGCATAGAGCTCAGTTGATAAAATAAGCTTATTAATCTTGAAGACAGTCGAATTAAAATTACAATAATGCAATAAATGCAAGAAAGAGTCAAAAAAGGAATATTTATCGCCAAGTCAAGGAAAGATTAATAACCATCTCCTTTTGAACACAGGTTTTTAATGACTGATAGCAACGACTTCAGCAAACTACAGAATACTAGAGTTTAACTGCTTACTAATCACCTTAAAATATTGTAAGGTATCGGCCTAATATCTTGTATGTGTATGAAATATATATTCAAGATTAAAAGAGCATTTCCTATTTATAGTTTTCATAATTATTACCTACTTATTTTTAAAGTTATAATTTACTTCATAAGTTATCTGATTGTTTCAGTTTAGTTCACTTTAAAATATTTTATAGTGACTACTTAAATAAGTTAATTGAATAAAAGAAAAGTTAGAATTTAGTAACCGAATTATTCAAAATCATTTAGATTACTATAATCAATTAAAAGATACAATCAAATAATTATTTAAAAGTAGTTTTTTCTTCGACTTATTATGATCAAAGTACATTTATTCCATGAAATTATTCAAGATAGACTAAGAAAGATGTAGAGAAAGTAGTAAAAAGGTTCATTAATTTCTAATATTATTATTACTTCAAATGTAAGTATACTTTCTATGTAAATGTTATGAGAGCAGAAAAGTTAAAATGTGTTTTTTATCAAGAAAAAGACAATTAACAAAATGAAATGACCATCCAATAGTTCCAAGTTTTCTATGATGATCTAGTTTCAATTGACTGACTTATGAACTCAACTATTGAAATTATTGTAATATCCACAAAAGCTTCTTTCTGATAAAAAAACACTTTAAGAAATCAATTTCATTTATCCAATTTTCTCAGTAAAAACCTAAAAGTTTAAACCAAGATATTTCCAAGTAAACTATAAATGTTAATAACCAGATATCATTCAATATCTTTGTAAGATTTCATTAAAATTAGATCCAAACATTTCTCTAAGTGCACTAGTTTTCCTTTTAATTTTGTACACTAATAATAAAGAAAGGAAGAGTAAACTTAATAACTATTAGTCATTCATTTTATTTCACATTTGAAAAGTACAGATATTAAACTATGGATAATACCAACAAAAAAACAAAACAAAACAACAACAATAAATTATCATACCTTGAGAATTTACTTCCAATAATACAATGCCATGTTGGTTCATATTTACGATCAAATTCTTTTTTTAAAAATAATGCAATATCTTTATCATCATTATATTTATCCATAGCCATTGCAGCAGTTTGTACAGCATCTTGTTGCATTTCTTTACTCATTTCAACATATTTAATAACAGCTTTTCTTTCACCACTTTGATGTAATGTATTACTATATGGTCTTTGTTCTATTGGCATTTTTAATAAAATCTTTTTAGTACTAAAATAAATAGAAATTATTATTAATTTATTCTATTACTTTTGTTTTGTATTTTAAACTCTAGTAATAATGTATAGTTTATTCTTTTAAATTTTATATGAAAATTGTTTAATTATAATCAAATAGTATAGTTGTGTCTTTCTATCACTCTATTAGTTACCTTCATATGATTTGGCTTTTTGTTGGTTAATAGTAGGAACTAGTAATAATAATAATAATAATAATAATAATAATAATGATCGAATTGTATTGATTCTAGAATAAACAAGTAATATAGTAGCAGAGAACTCAATATTATTCGAAGTATAAACATGATCATTGTCAGTCATCATTGTATAATAAAAAAAATTATAAAATAATACAATAGAAACAATATACATATCAAATATTTGTGTAAATAAATCGAAACTATTTATGATTTTTATCGACTTTGATAATACTTAAAGTTACTATTATTTTTAGGATAGTTACATCTTGTTTTTATTGAATGAGATAGATACGTTTAACAGTGTAGGTAATTAAATACTATTGAGATTTCTGATTTTTTTTAATATAAAAAAAACACATAGCACGTATAAGTAAATAAATGATTCTATTCAAAACATCATGACAAAGTTGACAGATAATTCTCTTTTAAACATTAAAAAAAGTTCAGAGATGGGATCTCTTTTCAACGAATTTATAATCAAGCTGTACAAACGTAGATATTTATGAAAATTTCTTTTATCAGATGGGGTTTTTTGTGAAGATTTTTAGAAATTTCACTGATTGAAATCATGAGTCAATTGAAGCTAGACCACCATGGAAAGCCTGGAAGTACTGGAAGGCCTTTTCATCCTAGTATGGAAACATGGTGGAACATGATTTCAATCAATGAAATTTCTAAAAAATCTCCACAAAAACTCCTTCTGATAATAATCATCTGCTCACTAGGGACTGACTTCAGGAGATACTCCTGGAGTTCTGGTGAGAAGCCGTTACCAGTGGAGTTCAATCAGGTCTGTTGTGAGATATCAGCTCACTGAAGACAACGGTGTACGGTGGTGCAACTTCGTGGATTGGTTGAAGTTAGACATTAACACCATTGGATGCCGGCCGCCTCAGTGGTCTAGTGATTAAGTGCTCGCGCGGGAAATCAGTAGGTCCTGGGTTCGAGTCTCGTTGGGTGCCGGATCGTGGATGCGCCCTGCTGAGGAGTCCCTTACTAGGACGAAACGGCCGCCCAGTGCTTCCACGTTTTCCATAGTGGTCTAGCTTCAATTGACTCATGATTTCAATTAGTGAAAATGTTCTCATTAAAGTACTAGTTCCGTAAGGAAATGTGAACAAGGAACAAACAAGATGATGTAATAGAAAGATTATAATACTAGATTATGTAATACAAATAATGGCAATAGACTTAATAAGTTAGTAACGAATTATAACGTGAATGTAGTAAGATGATTAAAATGTTTTCGTTACAATAATTAAACGTCATAGAGGTGTAGAAAACAAATAAAGTGATATCATGAGCAATTTTGAATAAAATAATGAGAATATGAGACATAAGTAAAGGGAGAAATGCATCAATAATATAATAAAATAATTAAGGCCAAGGTAACGATAATGATAGGACGTGCCTGTTTTGTACGCATAGTTCTGGCTTGAGCTCATGGATGGTAAGAGCTTCGGCTATTTTGAATGCGAAAAAATCAAGGTAGATTCGTATATACAACCTTAAAATCAAACTTTGGATCAATAGAATGATTACAGTCGAGTAGATGTTCAAGTATGGAACTTCTAACTACTTTCTTCTCATCCTTGTAGAACCAAACTGGAACATGTTCCCGTATTCGAGTTAAAAGCGAGCACTGGCTGTGGCCAATCTGTCTTGCTCTACAAGAGCAGATGAAAGTTATTAAGATTTAAAAGTATTAACGATTTATTGTATAATTTCCCTGAAACTTTTATAAAATATTTAAGTGTTTTGAATTCAGAACAAGGTTATTAAAATCATGTAAATATGATATGGTGTTATTCTGATTTTTATGTAAATCGTGCTGATTGATTATTACCATACAGAGATCTTCAGAAAAAGACAAATGTTTATCATCAATATAATGATCCGTTGTATGTTTAGCAAAATTTTTAAAATCTATTATTAGAATCCTGAAATAACGTATGAAATGGAATTAGATGGCCTTAAATCTACTTGTTAGCTCAATATTTATTCTACCACTGAACTGAAATATGAAGGTACATGTTCTACGCTTTCGTCACTTCATAAAATAGTATTGTATTCAGTCATGTTAGTTCATAATAAATGATGTTAAGTGATGTTAAAGATTTTCAAGCAAACTGAGAACAATTATACTCTCATTTCTGTTTAGATTTACGATGATTTGCTTGACTACCAATTAGATTTCAACCACTTCAAGTGTAAAAGGATTACCATTGATACAAACAGATGATCGTTCTAAAATGTGATAGAATATGGTTGATAATGCGGACCATTGACTTACAGATCTTGGGTTTAATCCTTAGGATCTTTGATTCGCAATGGTTTTCCAGGTAATATCAATTTTTAGGAAAAGTAATCTTGAGATGTGTATATAGTGACTTGCTGTTCCAAATAATACAGATAATTACTATTCTTGGAATGCCAATAACTACCCAAGAAACTAAACATCAATAACTTAAATATATTACTGATAATCTTCATACCTTCTTTTATAAGTATATATTTAATTTGTGATAGTTCGTGTTGATACAGGTTTATTACGAACATAGTTTGAGTTTTGTATGATTGACAGATGAGTCACCATTCAAAGAAACTGTTATCATAGCGAGTATATGTGAATCACTTTTATTCTATTGTAATGAACCATCATTTTAAAACAAAATCAGGTGTAAAGTTATCACTACGATATGAGATTTTGCAACTAATACTTTATGGATTATTTTAAAGGAATAGAATATTTCATGATTGCAGTTATAAAATGTTATTTTAAAATTTCCGAAAGCATTTCTCCAAAACAAAGGACAACTTTTTTAACATCATGATGGATTATAGAGAATTGATCTTAAACTAGAACGACAAAGGTTACTAAATTCTTTCTAGTTTTCAAGGATTATTCAGGTGATGTGACTTCGTGCAACAAATGAGCATGTTACCAAACAATAAATTAAAATTTATCTTCTCATAAATGGTTAGGTGCTGAATTATCCAATGATTCTCTGATACCAATGAATGTAATCTACTCTACATAAAAATAATAATCATCAGATTTTAAATTTGTGAATGTATTGTTTCAAATTCTTCAAATATCATACAGATTACAGCTTAGTTATCGTATGTAGTCGAAGATCCATGTCCTTTCAAATGACTCTTCCCTTGTTAATGATTTTGATGGCAATGGCTGTTTATAATGAAAATGGGTTCCAAACTAGTTATGTTTATGATCTTTATGTAGTAAATTATTTTATGCGGGTATGGATGCTTAGAAAAAGATTGTAAATTTAAGGAAGTAGTTTAAAAAATAATAGTCAGGAGCTAAAATGATCTGATTTACGAACTATTATTATTCAGATATTAGAAAAAGCTTATAGGTTTCCTGTAATTAAATGTATACAGTTCATGTTAAACTAAACATTAAGAGAATATAACAATGTCTGTTTGAAAACAATAAAATAATATTCACAGACTAATTAAAATTATTCTAACGGGTTTACATGGAAAATCCATTTAAATCATTCATCTGATATTACCATAGAAACGGATAGAAAGTCTGGAAATCAAACATATAAAGCAAACATCTAAATTGAATGAAATATGAAATAGATGATTATTGTTATAATTTATTTGATCCTTTTATTATTAGGAATTACACGTAATAACATTATTTTCATGGTTTGAACTGAAAAACAAACAAACAGCCGAACAACTGTTAACACACCAACGTTACAAGGAATAAAAAATAAATAAGAAACTATGGCTAGACTATAATTTATAGATAAATCAATCACATTTAAGAGAGCAGATCTCGGATTTTGGCATAAAATTCATTTACTCATTTGGTTTAATAACATTTTGGCATTATAGCTGATGTCAGTTCGTGATGAAAACATTAAATCTAATTCTTACTTTAACGTTCAACTGTAAATCGTAATTCCTTACATTAATATATAACCCTCATTTAACTCTGATAAGTAGGTGGACATTCCAAGGTCAATTTAGCGTTGCTCAAAGGTCTTACAGAAACTATTTGTATATACAAAACAGTCAGTGTTTAATTCCTTATCTACCATTGTCTTGGGATCTTCTTTACTTTAAATAGTTATGAGTGCCAATTATTAATTTCTTTGTAAGTCAGAGTTATCTTTAAAAGTTCTTCTATAAATGACGATTTTTACTACCTACAAAACCCGACCCTGAAATCATGACCAAGAACTTTTGTTGCGCGTCGTTGTGGCCGGTTAGCCGCATAAACAGGAATTCCCTTGTTTGACCCAAATACGCAAGTAATGATTTATGGTTTGCTATTAAGGTAGATTGCTGACCAAATATCATCTTGAGGAACATTTTTGCGGTAAAGATAATCGATAGAGCTTCTTTCTCAATTTGACTGTAGTTCTGTTCTGTTGTTGTTAGCGATCTGGTTTTTTCAGCTCCATCGGGAAAAAATATAAGAAATAACTGCTCTAATACCATAATTTGAAGCATCTGAAGCAACCACCATAGGTAGAGAACGATCACAATGCCTAAGTAAGAAACTGGAAGCTAGGAGTTGCTTGATTTTATTGAAAGGTGCTTGAAAGTTTGCTGACCGATCTTATTTTGAATTCTTTTCCAGTAGATGGTTTAGTGGAGCACACAGACGAAGGAGATTAGGAAGTGAATTTTCGTGATGACTAACCAATCCTGGATCTGGTCGTCGTTCATCTTTATCTATCATGAAACCGAGGTATCGTACACTTTTCTGTGCGGAGGTGAAGACCATATTCAACTATGTGTGTTAACACCCGTTTACATTTCCTTTGCAAGTTCATTTTATCTGCTCCCATGATTGCGATATCGTATAAGTAAGCTGCCACTCCTATAACACCTTGTAACATGGTGTCCATAATTTGCTGGAATATGGAGGGTGCCATCTTCACTCCAAAGGGCATTTTGTTATTTCAGAACAGACCCGTGTGTGTGTTGGACCTGATGAGGTCTTTACTTTCATCAGCTACTGCAATTTGTAGATAGGCGTCTGATAAATCCGATTCCGCAGAATGCTTGCCACCGTTCACTTTGGCGAAGAGATCTTCAGGTAAAGACAAGGGATAGTGGTGAGATCGTAGAGCT